GTTCAGCTTAAGGTCCATGTGGAATTCGATGAATTTTCGAAAGTGTGATCACTCGATTTCACCGTTTTGAAGTGGTTGATACCGACAACGACCATTTCTGACATTGAGTTGTTTTAGAATATAAAGGCATGATCTTCCGTGTTTCATATTTGAATGAAGATTCTTTTTTTTATTATGTTCGTGATGTGTGAGTTCTACCCTGACCCATCTGAAACTTCAATCAATTTGATGCTGTCTGGTACACGGAATTAGGAGTGTCTAAGGCACTCGTGAACCACCAATAAAATCACAGTTTCCGGTATCATTTGGGACTTTCGTCAAAACGACTTGATACAGTTGCGCATTCATAACCTTGACAGTCGGTTCTAGTTACCCCGACACCAATGCCCACACCTACGTTACCACCTTAGCGACCAATAAGCGCCATGTTTAAGAAGAGGAATGGAGCTTGTTTAACACCCCTTCCGTCTTGCTAACCTGTAATTAAAACCTGTCACCATTCGTTATTGTCCCTACGGCTTCCAAACCCACGCATTGTTTAAAACACCCACGCGCGCACAAACTGAAAGCTTGTTTTGGGATGCAGCTCGAATTATCAGCGCCGGGATGAGGCGTGTCTGCGTGTGGCTTGCTTATCTTGAGACGCGAAATGCGAAGCTTTGTTCTCCATGTGTGGTCAACTCGTCGCCACCTCCGCGTGTAGCTTTCATTTATCCGGTCGGCTGTTGGGGCAGGCAGTTGTCAGCATCAGGGGCGGGAAATTGTTGTCGTTGTGGTTGCCTCAGACGCCCCTTTATAGCGTCCGACGTCCTTACTGCCCCCTCCCCCTAATTTGTCCATTCACTTGAGACTTTCTCAGAGATAACGAGTCTGATCACCATCACGCAGAGGCGGCAGATCACCAAAGACGCAACTGCAATTCAGCTAAATTTGCCAACTCGGGTTTTAGAAGTGACCTCGGCACCGTCGAAATGATTGGTTAAACGATCACCACCACCAGCGGGCCTGCTAACACATCTCCAGGTGTGTTTTGTCATCGGCGACCGAGTTTTTGGACAAACAGGGGGGGGGGATTTTTTGAGGTGCACAATGCACGTTTGTGTGTGAATATACGCGGCAGCATCGAAGGCAGATGTGCTTTTTCGTCAACCTCAGTCCCACAGCTCGCGTGGAGAGAGTACTACGTCCGGTGAAGCCGTACCCCTCTTTGTCAGAAATTTCCCACTCAACCTTGAGCCGACCAATTAAATTGCCCTGACGAGGTGTGTGAGGGAAGAGCACCCTTTTAGTGTGATCTACAGGGCGCAATGTGGCCTCTTGCTGTAAACACAACGACAGCATGTTGTGTGCGTGTGTGCGTGCGATGGCGTAAACACCGGGGTCGTCTAATCCGACGGCATTAATCAGTCAGCATCACACCCACCAAACCACTGATCTACTTAGAGATACCAGAAGGACCTAAATTTAGCCGGTGATGTCGCATCCGGCCACGAAAGTCAGATGATGCCGCCCTTTCAAGACACGACCTAGCTCTCAGATTAACCACTGGTTAGCATGCGGAATTTCGGCAAATATGAATCTAGTGGTTTTTTAGAACTAACACCATTGCCTGTCGAGGGCGTCATTGGCCTATTCATGTCAGAATTGTGACAGCCGTAGTTAGCCTATAATTAATTAATAGTCCGTCCGTCTGCATTCATGGTTTGGTAATCGAAATTACCGGCTATATTCCAGACAAATTGGCTTGCGTGTCGTTAATTTGTTCCTCTCATGACGTTGTTTCAAAAAACGGCAACATGCAACTGCAACGACTTGCGGACTCTTGAATGAGTACATTTTGATTCAATCGAAAAATCCTTTTATGTGTTCCTAAAGCGTAATTATTAGTTCACGCAAGAATAGGATAATGTTGGTTGCTCTACGTTGTTCGATTTTATCAACTATACATCAATCGGTTGACCCTGAGATCACACCAATTGGGATACCTAATTCCGAGATTAACCAATCAACAGTGACAAGTTGTTTTAACTTTAAAATTACCATTTTTTGCAACAATCGAGGTTTGATATTACTTTGTAGGTCATGGCACATGATGATGACCATTCTGCTCAATTGGAATATAGTCTGACAGGAGGCGGTGAGCGCTACTTCAGAATTGAACCAGGAACAGGGAAAATTACCACCCTGGAGAGGGATGAGTCGAGTCGACTGGACAGAGAAATGACCCAAGAAGTGACGTTCTTTGTTCTCGTGAAGGACGCGAAGACGAAGGAAGTACCGAGCAAGGCCGACGCACCATCTGTCGTGCACACTGCGACGACAACCGTGACCGTTGAGCTGATGGATGAGAACGACAATGCGCCCTCTTTCACGGATCTTGGACCGTTCCATCTGTCGGAGAACTACCCCAAGCACTCCAAACTCAACGGACACCTCCACGCCGAGGATCCTGATCAAGGACTTAATGGAAAGGTGCGTTGAATTTGTTGTCCTTCACTTGGGTGAGGTCTGTCTGGGTGTGAGGTTGCGGCAAAATAATGCTCTTTTCGGAAGGCACCTCTTGTGATCCTTTTAATCACACAGCACCAGAAACCCAAAAGTTCAAATACTGCACAAATGCGCTCTCACACGGACGCGCGTGCACACTCTGCCTTCTGCAGACAGAACGTAATTTGCAATGCATATGAGTTCCAACTAGTGGCTGTTTTGTGCTGCTAGCAGACTCGGTCACGTTCCTGCTATTGTTGCTGCTGCTGCGTCTCGTTTGGTGAAATTCAAACAACTGATTAGCATTTCTTCACGACAAGGGGGCGGGTGATTGTGTTGGGCGTGTCTTCAACGCATACACAACAGTCAATCTCCTTCACACAAGGTTTCGCTGATATGACTAAACACCAGATTTCGAGAGTCTGGTATGCTCACGTTTTTCACACTGAACCAACTTTGTGCTGCAATTTTTTTCGGGTTTTGACCTCCACTTTCAACTGACAACGACTTCAGAGGCAAGTCTCCCACCGAATCGTTTCAAACGAGTCTCGAGTTGTTTTCTCACGTCTAAGGTGTGTGATCACTTTCAAATTCACCCTCTGCTTTATTTAAGGCCAATTTCATGGCGTGAACCGTCATTTCTTTTAAACAGTTTCGAGGGTCAGCTTATGGGGAATAAAAATGAACTTGCCAACAACAACCGGCTACTGGAAATAAATGAAGATGATTGGACAATGGAGTATTAAGGTCGCCAAAATCGATTGGGTTGAGGAGGTTTGAGAGGTCCCGACCCTTCAGGGTGAAAGCACATTGGAAGGGTGATGTAGGTGGTGATGTGAGAACGCCAGTTTAATGGTGTTAACGCGTACGCTTATTACTGCGACATTAAGGTCAGGACATTGCATACGTCGCATGTACTGCGACTTCTCTAGTGACTGGGTCAACCTCCATTCCGACTAGCCTTGCTACGATTGCTTAGAGAGGGTTTGATGGTCTCATCACTCTCGTGTTCTCTTTGCTATCCCACAGTCGGCAGTTAGATTGTGATTGGTTGAAGACGCGGTAGGACAAGCACATGGGAAGCGGGAGAGGTTGGGCTACAACGAGGTCTTCGCAGACACCCCGATGTGACCCAATTGGCAAGACACGTGGTTCGTTTGTTGTTAGCTTTCAACCGAGTGATTGGTGTTGCCGCGCGCGCGCGGTTACGTTGGTGGTGGGGGAGCGGAGAGGTGGGCTTTTGTGGACATCCGCTGATGCCTTCCACAACTGCCTTAAAACGAAATCGCACACATTTGTGACCGGAGTTCAGTGATCGACCAATCAGGTTTCAGGTGCCATTTTGGGATCCACTGATTCCGTGTTTTACTTGGGCAACAAGAACTGCTTCAGCGCTTTTACCATGGAAACGTTGTGTCGGGTTTAGCATGTCCGTAAAATTTGCCTGTTTGAACATTTGTCAACGTGAATTCGAGCATGCTGCCATGGCAACATCAAAGGTGCCTCAAATGACTCCTTTTCTCTGCACCAAAAAAGTGACTGATGGCCCGATTTGGCAACAGCTGCGAATTTTTGTCGTCTGTTTAACGACTTCGTTGCAACTTTCTTAAACTAAAGAGCTTGGTGTGAGAGCCGTGCTTTTCATTGTTCTCTATAACTGAAATCGTGGCACTAGAACGTGCGAGAATTTAACTTCGTGTCGACACGTATTCGTGCAATGTTCTCCCAGCAAAGGGTCCAGGCAACTTGTATAATCGATAACCCAGCGAGCGCTAATTGGTGAAAATTTAGTCATGTTGAAAGAGCTCAAGATATTAGTCGTTAGTTGAATGACACATAGTCACGCGTTTCGTGTAAAACCTAGCCACGTCTTGATCAAGTGTTGGTCCATTGTCACTTGTTCAGGCATCCCTGTAACTAAAACACCGTCACTATGCCTTTTTCAAGCCTCCTGACTCCAGAATGTCGAAATTTAATGTCATTGTACGGGGCAGTGGTGGTTATACACTCCAACACCTGCTAGACCTACTGACTAACTTAATTTCGACAAAAGTATGCCATTCTTGGATAAAGATATCCAATTTTGGAAAATTTGACGTACAAGTGACTTTTCCAATGCAATTGCACCCTCCCATGCAGTGAAGTTATCCAACTGTTTTAACTAGGAGTAACTACTTTGAAAACTAACTGGAAGTATCGATTTTCTTGACCACAATTCACGTAGACCAATCAAATCTCTGCTGAATTAGGATTGGTTGTTCCCAATATGACAGTTCTACTCATTTAGATTATCTGTAAATTGTTGGTTTGGCTAGAGTTGAATGAATTATTTGAACATACTCACTTCCGTTTATTTAAAATGTTTAGCACTCAAAACCCGGGCGCTTTTCATTTACTGGCGCGGCTACTGATATTGCGCAAATCAGATGAAAAGATCTAACTAAGACGTGTAAAAGGCTTCCGCACAGCGTGCGTTGTAAACAGAACGGGTTAGCACGCAGGGGTTTGGGGTGGTTGGGTGGCAGGGGGCACAGGCGGTTACACACCAAGTGATGTGTGTTAACGTAAACACGCCAGTCGGCTAGTCTAGCAGGCGTGCACGCACGCACGAAGCGGCATGAGGGGACAAATTCACGTTTTATTCCTCATAACCCATTAAGGACTAATGACTCGCTCAAGATTGGCAACCGTGCTACAGCGCTTAACCTGCATCTGTGGCCGTCATAAACTCGGGGTGGGTTGGACGATTGCGACCGTGCCTTTTTTATGAATCTGTGGTCTATTGCAATTAGAGCAGTCACTGGCGCAGCTGGCGATTGTGAAGGAAGCTAAGGATTGATGTGTACCGTTTTCATTCAGAATCACTAAATGGTGTGTGTTTTCTCCTGCCCTGCAGGTGAAGTACAGTCTCCAGGATGTGTGGGACACGAATACTCACATCCGGAAACACAAGCTCTTCCAGCTGGACGAGACTACGGGTACACTGCGTGCTTTGGAGCCGTTGGATCGTGAACAGACAAAAGAGTACACCCTTCGTGTGGTGGCGTGCGACATGGCACCACGGGATTCCCGCTGTACTTACACCAACGTCTCTGTCTCCGTGGTCGACGTCAACGACAACTCTCCCGAATGGCTATTTCCCGTCGGCGGTGGTGCCGAAGGTGCGGAATCTGTGAACATCACTTCTGATGCCGTGGCGGGTCAGGTGGTGGCACAGCTTGTGGCGCACGACAGGGACGATGGGAGCAATGGACAAGTGCGTTACTCTCTCCACGATCCTCACAGCCAGGTCGCTTTCGCCGTGAACTCTACCACCGGCCAGGTCACCGTCGCCAATCGATACTACGCTGGAGTAATCGATGCTAATGGCCAGCAGTCGCAACAGCATCAACAGCCTACACTGAATCCTGGCGTCTATCGTCTGAGAATCCGGGCTTCTGATATGGGCCACCCACCGCGATACTCTGATACCTGGCTTACGGTTAGTCACAGTTTAACGATTAGTGGAGAAGTTAGGCTGGCTTCAAGCAAACACCTTAACTTAGGGCTCTGTAGGTATTTACTGCAGTCAATGACAAAACCGCTACCAAATTTTACTTTTAAGTGGTCTTTTCGCACTCTTAATAGTAGTCTGGCAGCCGTTGTTGTAGTAACGCCGGCAGCCACGCTACGGAGCATTTGACCCCTGGTCATTAATAAATTAATGTAACGGATTGGTTGATTTGTCTTGCTGACACGCGTGACCTCGTGATTCATTGGTTTACTGTAAAACTAAAACATTTGCGCTCCTCGCTAGCGGTAGACTCGATTGTGTGACACAGGAATGCTAATCAAAGTCACGTGTCCTTTGCGACAGACAGGCAACGTCGTAGTTGGTCAAGGTGGATCTTCATCCTTGCTAGACAATGATTTAGTACCCAATTGACTCAGATTCTTTGTTCTCTGTGTCTTGTTCAGATTCGTGTCGTCGGTGCGAATTCGGGAATTTTTAGTATCCAGACGGGGATCGTTATCATACTGGTTGTCGTCACTTTGGTGATCGCAGTCAGTCTCATCGCAGTCATAATCTGCATTCGGCGACAGAACACAAGCTGTAAACCGCCAGGACGTTCCGGCTCTACTAGTGGTTGTTATTCCAGCAAGGTCCGCCATCAACACTCGACGCCCTGTCACGCCCCAAGCTACGTACTCCCGCCATCTTACCCCCACTCCGAATACCCTACCTTCTTCAAACAAAACGGTGGCGGACCTGCCTACGTACTGGCTAAAACCGCGGGCAGCGTCTGTTCGAGCGACCAGTGCGAAGGCAGCGCCGGCGGCGTCTGCCCCATCACCGAGATGGGGGTGACTGAGTTCTACGCGCCGTATGGTCTGGTGACGAGCAGCGGTCTGTCTGAGGAGCAGGTCCGCTTCCTGGACGTCGACACGGCCGCTGGTGGCGCGGCGTATCTCTCATTCGCGAGAAGCAACCCTGAAGGTCCGGCGTCGCCGTCGGTGCGACTTGTCAACGCCTACCCCATCACCTACAACACCTGTGACTCCACCGGCCAACTGCCCACCACCTCAGGGGCTGGGATGCTCAAGTTTCGACAGGTGAGTCAATCCTGATGGATTACGCCAGTAGGAGGTTGTGTGCGCACCGATGGCTGTTTGGTCAAACCGTACTTCATTTTTAAACAAATCCACACAATTGTGACTCTCAACTGTGTTTTTTGAAGACTGTATTGAGTTGTTAACGCGATCATGGCGTTTTGACACACACCGCGCAGTTCCCGTTTAGGGCAGATGTTGTGGGGCGGACAATGGCGGTGGGGGTGGTAAGAGGAGGATAGTTATGAAGTCCGTGGTGGGCAGACTAACACCTCGTGAGTTGTCCGAAAGGCGTGTCACACTCGTCTGCCTACTCGACGTGATTTGTAGTTACCATCTGGCGTTATAACGCCGACCCCACCGCCACCACCACCTCGATCCCACTGCAGTCTCTCCCACGAAACAATCACTTGTCACTGCTGCCTAAGTCGCCCCAGTGGTTGAAATGAAGTGCCTCGATGTGGCTCATTCGTGCCAGTGGAGTTTGGGGCTTTTGCGTGGGATAAAGCCTGCCCAAATTCCCAGTAATATTTACGATTTCACGCTTCATCTGATTGGTCGGCGGATTTGCGCGCGCATTTCATAACGTGTGGGTGCCATTAAATTAAGTCGTGGGAGCTGACTGTAATTTTGCATTGCAGCTGCTCGCCCCCATTCTGTTCTTTTTATTCCTTCATGTGAATTTTCATTTTAACGGTAAAAACAATCGTGTCAGGGATCACAACCGAATTAACACAACATTGTAAAAAATACGGTGCGCTTTAAAGAAACGCCAGTTTCTTCCAAACAAATCTTAAAATTCCATAGTTAGCATAAGTTAATCAGAAGTGTTTGGGGTTGGCAGCAATTTTGCACATGAAATTCGGAACTTTTTCACAGTTTCAACCACTACTCACCGTCATCAAAGTGGTAGAAGTGTCAGTGATTTTGCAAGAAGCATCCCCTAATGGAAATTTTTCAAATTTGGCGCAAACCTTTTATTTGTCATCAATTTGACCACAACTCACTCCAAGCAACGCGCTTGAGTTGCGTAGGCGTCGTTATCGATTTTTTGCTGCTGTCCATCGATCGATATGTCAACTTTGCCTTTTTTCAAAATCCAACAGTCAGACAAAAGGTGTTAAGTAGTTTTGCGTTGCTCGCCCTTTCCTTCGTGGGCACTACTGGTGGCAAATTAACGACAACAGACACAAGAAGCAAGCAAATTCGTGTGTGTGTGTGTGTGTGTGTGCGTGTGAATTATGAATGACAAAACGACTTCGCTAACTAATCACTAGCTCCACTGCAGTGGAAGTTGTTTAGGACATCACATCTCATACAGGCTCTTGTCACATTCTGCCAACTTGTCATTATACACTATCACTTAATTGAAGTCGTGCGTTTTAAATGGCCCAGTGCACGATGCGGATTCGTTCATTTGTGGTTAGTTAACTAATCCCTCGTGAATTTGGGCTCAATCAATCAACTCATTGGCCACACTTTGATTGGTGCTTACGAGTGACCTTGAAAATTTATACCCAACTCACCCAGGTTGGTCAATCTGCCAAAATTGATTGAGAATACGAATTTCAGTTTTATAGCGGATGTGTCGTTTAAAAATGTCGAATTTTATATTTTGATAGGATAGATAAACTTTTAATAAAGCTGTTTCGTTTCTTGGATAAATTTGTCAATAAATATCTCCACTTCTAGACGTCTGGATCGCCGGAGTTTCTGTACTCAAGTCATCCCAACGGTGAGGAGGTCTTCGAACTCCCAGAATGTCCAGTCAGCGGGGGCTTGTCTTCACAGTACAGCGGCACTCATCATGTCCACCCCCACCGCCACCCCGTCTCCCCATCAGAGCAGTTCGAGGGAGGATCAGCGGATTCGGGAAGGGGTGTGAGTGAGGACGAGCCGCCCCCACCCCACATCATTCAGTGCAACGGCAGTTCTGACTGTCTGCCGCCTTCCAACACATCCACGTTCTTTTGCCAGGGTTCTGGGTCGTTGGTTACGACGAAAAACTACGTCGTGGGCTGTGGAACACCCTTGAAAGAGGATCGTACCTCGTCTGGTGGTACGTAGGTCATATTTGCGGTGAATCCCTGCCCCATCTTAGAACTTTTTGTGGACTCGTCATGATAGCGGTGGTGACTAAACTTGGGGAGAAGGGGGGTACCCAGCGTATTCACATAAATTAGGCGCGATGGCCCACCCACCATTCGCCAACTTCCCCTGTCTCAGTGTAAAGTCACACCCAGATTGAATTATTGCTCCACCGTCGTCTTCAGATGTTGGTCCGTTGGAATACAGCCTTTTCGGATTGGGTGGTCTCTTGCCAGAATTACGATATGGCAACTTCCGACGAACCTTCGGTCCCCACATCCCTCGCCAATCTCACTTTTTCTGCCAAACCGTAGCCAACATCCACACGTTTTCCGTGAGAATAGTTAGAAATGCAGTATCAACGAATTACTGAATGCCTCCAACACTGTCCATTCTTCACTCCCAATAGAGGCAGGAGATGTAGCAAATTGGTACAAAAAGTGGTCGTCCTGTAGATGATTCAGCGTGCGTACAAAAAGAGAGAGAGTTTAAAGTGGGAAATATCCGTGTCAAAGCTTTATCTTGCACTGGATGACATGTTACCGCAAACGTGAGTCATCATCGCAATGATTGATAGCTACTGATGTTTGACAGCACGTGAGATTGGCAAGATATGGGCTGAAGCTTTGACAGATAAAACCCGCAAGAATTTGGTGGTTTGGATTCACTTCCCCACTGTGTATGATTGCTAGATTGTCAAAATTTAACGCTACAGGTTTGGGCGTTAGCGAGATTCGATTGGTCGTTCCACGAATGAGTGTAGTGAGATCGTAGCCTAAGGTTCAATTTAAAATTTAGCATACAGTTGATAGCGATTCGGCTTCTAATTTATCGTTGAATATTATTGGTCTTCTTTATGTTGTCACAGGTGATTGTGTGGGTTAAGTTGGGCCAGCCAATACACCAATATCGATCAGTGTAGCCGCGTCCTCGGCATGAGAATCATCCAAAAAGAGGCAAACAGAACCCCTTTTGTACACAGGGTGCCCTCTTCCCCCCTAAGCTGACGCGTGCAAGCCCCCGGTGCATCTCCTGCTGCACTACGTGTGTAAATTTGTCTCACAGTCACCCCCGTTCCCTTTGCCTGCTTCCCACCCTGTTCCTCCGTCAATAGTCTTTTATCATACACAAAGAATCTGACTCCTCAACTCGCTCACTTTTATCCCGTGGGGGGTGTTAAAGTGAGACGTCCGAACACTAGTTTGATGAAATTTGGAAACTCGAATAAAGTCTAATGGAACTCTGTATGGTTCTTACATCTGGTCTGTTCCACCAGTCACGACGCCAGAATTTCTGAGTTCGAGCCCCTAGATGACTTCTCTTGCACGGAGAAGGCATTCTAACCCACCCAGGTGGCTTGCTTTTAATCTAAAATTAGCCCCAACCCTCGTGTAACGTGTGTCCGCTATTAACGCCCAGCGGCGTATCGTGTAGTTTTGTTTTTCCAAGAGTAAAAAATGACCAGCGCGTTTGGGAAACGGATGTAAACAATGAAGTGGAGTTTTCGGGGGCGGGGTGTGGAGGTAAGGTAAGAAACACGTGACCTGCGAAGTAATCCTAGGAGGTTCACACCTGGTTCTCGCATCAGAGCAGAGGAACCGGAAAAGTTGTGTTTTGCATTTAAAATGTCCGGCTTTTAATGCTTCTGTTTTAAACAAAAAATCTTTTATGACAGACGTGAACTGCTAGCCGCTGCAGCCACAACCCTTACAGTTCACTAAATGAAAACTAAACTGAGGATTTTTCTGTGGCCCAAAAAACTTCAATATTATGTTTGAAAGCACTACGGTTTATTGATTTACGTCATTCAAGTGTATCCTGAGGCGGATGAAGCTCATGCTTGCCAAAATCGATTTTTCCCAGGGGCTGGCAATCCTGATTGGTTTAAGCGGCGTTGCAAAAAATTTCGCGATTTCGTTGGTCGAAAGCGAGAATTCTTGTGCACATTTAAGCAAATTTCACCATCGGATGCTAGAAACGATTAGTCAGACGATGTCAAGCACATGACTATCAAAAAGGTGGCAGCTTCGGAAAAAAAGTGTATCTCAAGCAGTGTCACTAGTAGCGTGAATTCGCCAAGACGGCACTTTTTGGAGCAAAAACTCAGATGAAGCTAGATAGCAGGATCTTACTTTCACAAATGACGGCGCATTTGGCCGTTACTCAAAAGGAATAACAATTATTGCAGTCCTCTCACCACTTTGGGAGGATTCAAAGAACGAATTCTAGTTTCCCTTGGCACAAAATGATCAATGAGTTGGTTATTGAGAAGTTCTTTTCTTGTAAATTTAGGAAATAGCAGAAACACAAGTATTCTGACTGCCTAAGACAAACTAAAGCTAACACCCACCGGACTTGTGTAAATTATCTCGCTCAAAGTTTCCTACAACATGCAAAATGTAGTTGATGTTTACGCAAAGCAATTTCAAAGCGTCGTTTTCCAAGCCAATAGAAATGAAGCACCATTTCGTTGTTTCTTGTCGTCTGCGAAATGCGTAACTGGATAAAAGAAGTGGAGGGAAATGTCGCGTTTTATTTTATTTTATTCACAGCAGACAAAATTTATGCGAAGTAGTGGTGCGCTTCAACATCTTCGACCTCTTGCTGCGACATTTTGAAGATTGTTAAAACCGACCGTAAGCTTTAGCGACTATTTGAACGGATGAAATTCGACAAGAGTCGTTCTGAGTGCATTCGCATAGTTGTAACTGTCAGCTCGATCAGATAAGAGCAAACATTTGTAAATAACGCGAGGGAGACAAATTCCCTAGTAATTTGCTTTGCGTAACTAGTTTTTGCATCCACCACTCCAAGGCTCGTGTTTTTTAGGAACAAAATTCGCTTTTTTCCGGTAAACCTTGTTATCCACAAGATAAAAAGGAGTTTGCGGCGAGGGCGCTAAAATTAAACATTGGATCAAAAATCGATAATGATTGATATCACGCGCCAAGTCAGCAAATGAAGTTAAACAATGATTTGAGGGTACGTAGCCTTTGTGGCCGTTTAAATTCCATGTTAACTAATAGCCTGCACCATTGATTTAGTAAAATCGATTTTACTAAACTTTCTAGAGAAAAAATGGAAATAGTAAATAGAATTTTAATCCTTAAAACTAGAATTATCATCCCCAAGTACCGACTATTTCTACAGGGAGTTGGATACACTCCTCACTAGGTCAAAATTAATGACCATCTCTGAAAATTAAAATGTTTTCGATCCAAAAACTTCGAAACGAGGACATTGATCGGGGACCAGCACTCGAAAAGTCGATGATGACGCGTGCATAGCCGACCGGAATCGACTTGTATTTTGTTTGGAATGAGTTTTGATCGAGTGTGCTCGAACTGCCAGGAACGTGTGTAATTCAGCAACGCAGGGTAATTTCCACTGGGCGTTTAAGCAACGACATACTACTTTAATAGAAACGAGTAGTATGTTTTCTAAGTCAATCCCTTAACACCTGAGCGTTGCTGAACTGTACGCGATAATGCCCACTTTATCAATTTTTACTAACCTTGGTACAAATGACAGTTAAAATTATTAATACTTGGAAGCTAATCTTGATATTTACATCACTTATTTTCGAGTAACGAAATCTCATGCTATAGTTGAACCAATTGCACTGCGAAAATGCGAAAATCCACGGTTGTTTGTGTATCCAGTAGATTTAAACAAGAAATTACGTCATTGTCTTGTAAAAGGCTGTACCGTTTGAATTACCATTTTGGAATGTGTGAAACGATTTTGACTATTGTAAAAGCACACATTTGAAAACATTCGTTTTCATGTGCAAAAGACATTTGACTTCAACTTGATTAGATCATGGCGAAACAACAATGATCAGAAAAAATATCATCCAATATTTCTAATGTTCGTTGCAACTGATTGGATACACACTCACTGCCCTGGGGTGAACGATACCCCAGTTTGATTAGAGCGTTTCTAATCATCCAATAGGAATTGTTTCTTTGATATTAATTAACCTCAAAGCACATATCCAAGGCTCACTGTGTCATAAGTGCAATAAACCCGTCAAAATAAAGGGAGTGGTTAATCAAAGCGCCCCCAATCAACCAATTAGCTTTGAGCATGAATTTAAGCCCAGCACACTGTGCATTTATTCCGTGTCTATGTTTGCCAGGCCACAATTATGGTCAAAAACATGCGTAAAAAATGGTGTACGAAGAATTGAGCATTTACCAGCCCGTGAAAGAAGCAGTGAATGTCATTTTAAACGAAAACCGTTGAGATTTGTGTTAAAACAACGAGATTAGGCTAAAAGAGGAATAATCAGGAGACATTATACAACGACATGTTGCCACTTTCTAAAGCAATTCTTAAATTTGACTGATTGACTTCAAACTAAGCTGGAACGATAAATGTCCCCATTTTCATTGATCGGGCTTTGATCATCCAATAGCAAACGTCCTTCTTTCATTGATTAACCCAGGTGGTGTAAATACATGCGACATTCTAATGGACCCGTAACCGTGTCCAAGGTCAGTTGTGTCTCAACTGTAATGACCACGGTTCTTAATAATGTCTCCTTTGAACCAATGACCTTTGTGATTTGGTTTAAGCCAAACAAATCGCACATTTACCGTAGGATTATGCGCACGAGGCCACGTCTACGGTCTTGAGAACCGGAACATTTGGATGGCTTAAGTAGATATCGGTGCTTTCGCCGTCCACAACCCTACACGTCTGTACGACGATGTTGTCACACTTGGAACCACATCTAGTAAATTCGGGTAGTTTTTTTAACACAGCCTGGGAAACTTTCACTGAATTTGTCTACTTCGTTGGTGGTTAGGACTTTCTGGCATGATTTCATGAGGTTGTTGATGTCATGGATCAGTCACTCGCCGTTCCACTACAAAAGTCTTGCGAGAATGAAGATTCAGTATGACTCGTGGCGTCGTTTGCTCATCCCTCCACACCCACCACCCCCAACCTCCTCTTTTGCTTAAAATGTGAAA